ATTAGGGCATGGGTTAGTGTAAGGCTTCGGGTAAGCATTAGGTTTAGGGTTAGAGTTAGGTATCTGGGCCGGCTCCGGGATCCGGCTGGGGCTCTGGCTCCGGCAGCGCGCGCCGCTCCGCCGCCAGAGGGCGCCCCGCCCGCTCTTAAAGGGGCCGCGGCGCGGAGGCTGGGGGTGGGATGGGGAGGGGGCAGGCCGCTCCCTCTTCCCACCCCGGCCGAGCCGCGCCTTGCCGCGCCTCCCGCATCCGCAGATCGCCTGGCAACCCATCCTCCTCACGCCGTCCGGATATCTAAGGCGCCTCTCCTTTCCTCTCCTCCCGGCCATCATTCACCACGACCCCAGGCACGGACTCTCCCACCCCAGGCCTTTACAGTTTGCAAGGCTATTTCACATTTACCCCGTGAATTCGCACAATTTTCTGAATTTGGCCGGGTGCCAGGAGCCCCTGCCTGCTGCTAACTTGGACAAGTCATTCACTTCCCCCAGCCTCAGTTTTCCTTTCCATAAAATAGGATGATGATAACACAATGTGAGGATTAGAGGTAGTGAATTGAGTCCCTTACCTGTAGTTAAATGAATACCTAATACAAGTTACTGTTATTTTAAAGATGAAGGAACAGATTCTCAGAGATGATGTCACCTCCCCAAAGTCACATTACAAGTAAATGACAGACAATCTCAGTTCTTCCTGTATGTGCAGTGTCCACGGAACACACGATGCCTCCATGCTGGGCACTGGGCTGGGCCCTGTCAGGGCATTGTCTCTACCCTCTAAGAGCTCATGGATTAAGGCAGAGTCACATTCTCACTCAGCTTACTTTAGTACAAGACAGAATGGTGGGTGTCATGGCTCGATGTCTTCCTTTGTGAGTTCCATGTGATGCCTGAGGATGTCATGTACCTTATCTTCACAACTAGGCTTGGCCAGTGCCATTGTCAGGAAACAGACACTCAGAGATTGTCTCCTGTCTAAAATCAAACAGTAGTGAGTGAACTTTTTCCACTTCACCACACTACTAATAAGGCACCAAGGTGGCACCAGGGCACAGAAAGGCTCACCAGCAGAGGTGACATTTGAGCTGGGTTTTGAGGGATGAACAGGAGTTCTGAAGTTGAAGGAGAAAATAGTGAAACCAAAGAGAAGTCCATAAGCCAAGGCATAGAAGCTGAAAGTGCCCAACAAGGACTCTCCCAATCCAGCCAGAGCACAGGGGGTGTGGTGGAGATGTCTGAGAAAGAGACAAAACTGATGGAGTGGGGTAGGACAGACTTGCTGATAGACTGTGAAGGCAACACTTCTTCCACATTTTTATGGCAAGTGAAATTTGGTTTTCCTTTTCAAGGCTCAGCTGGAACATCACCACCTCCAGGAAGCCCTCTCTACCTCCCCAGGCAGCATTGTGTGCCCCGCAGTCCCTGATGTCCCTCCACCACGGTCCTGGGTATTATCAAGGGCTCTTCCACACTTCCCATTTTCCTGGCTATGATCTCCCTGGTTCTGGTCTGCGTCCTTCAGACCCACTGTTTCCACTAAGCTTCCAGGGGTCTCCTAGACACTCCCCCTGTCCGGCCCTCCTTTGGCCAGGCAAGAGGCAGTCTTCACGCTGAGAGGCCCTGGTGAGATCTGATGGGAGCTCCTGCCTTGGCTTGTCCCCTCTTCGTCCCCAATCCCCCTTTGTTCAGCCCAGTGGGCCCCCTGTGGAATCCCACAACGGCCCCTGTGAAACTTCCCCACACTCCTCAGAACTCCTACACCCACTCCTGCCCCCTCAGTAGGTGACTCCACTGCCCATCACATGGGAGAGCTTCTGCCACTTCCTGCCCCACCTCTTTGGATCTTCTCTGCACCTGCCCCAGTGCCCTTTCTTCTCTCCTTCCTCCAGGTGGAGGAGCCTCCCCTCATTCCAAAGCCAGCCCAGGTACCCTTGCTATGGGTCTCACCTTCACCTGCCCCTCCAGGATGCCTCCCCCACTGTGGTAGTTATGTCTCTTTCTTTCTCTGTCTCTTTCACCTTTAATTTCTGCCTTTAGACTGATACCTCCCTTTCACCACCCCCACCCAATATTTTGAAAGTACCCTGTTAGGAACTGAGTACTCCCCCGCAAAACTGATATGTCGAAGCCCTAACCCCAGGGTAATGATATTTGGACGTGGGGCCTTTGGGAGGTAATTAGGTTTAGATGAGGTCATGAGGATGGGGCCTGATGATGGGATTAGTGCCCTTATAAGAAGAGGAAAAGAGATCAAGGTTCTTTTTCTCTCTACCAGTGTGAGGTCACAGCTAGAAGGCCACTGTCTGCAAACCAGGAAGAGAGCTCTCACCAGAAGCCAAATCTGCTGGCACCTTGATCTTGGGCTTTCCAGCCTCCAGAATTATGAGAAATAGGTGTCTTTTGTTTCAGCCACCCAGTGTGTGGTATTTTGTTATGGCAGTCCAAGCCTACTAACATACCATCTAGACTCTGTACTCCCTGCATCCATTTCCTCATACCCACCCCCACCCCCCCTTATTCCTTGACTCAGTCTGACTTCACCGCCCCCCCACCACCACCACTCCAAGGGCACTGCACTAGCCAAGGTCATGGACTGCTTCTTACTGCCAGGGCCCTTCTTTTTCACATTCAGCGCCATTGACCATCATCTCTTTCTTGACCACATAGCAGTCAGAGTCCAGACATTTCACAGGTGTCAAGTTGGCAAAAATTAAAAAGTCAGATAATATCAAGTGTTGGTGAGGATGGGAAGTGACAGGAATGCTTTTGTACTGCTAGTGGGAGAGAGAATCAATTCACTTTGGAGGGCAGTTTGACAAACTCGTAATTCAGAGGTGTTCATATCACACTACCCAGCTGCTCCCCTCTGCAGTAGACAGAATAACAGACCCCAAAGGTGTCCACAACCTAATCCCTGTAACCTGTGAACTTGTTACCTTCCATGGTGAAAGGAACTTTGCAGATGTGATTAAATCAAGGATCTCGAGACGGAGAGATTATCCTGGATCATCCAGGTGGGGCCAGTGTACTCACAAGGGTCCTTATAAGGGGGAGGCAGGAGGGTCAGAATCAGAGAAGGAGGTGTGACAGTAAAATCGGAGGGTCAGAGTGAGAGAGAAATTTGAAGACACTACGTTGCTGGCTTTGAAGATGGAGGAAGAAGTCACGAGCAGGAAACTGGAAAAGCCTCTAGAAACCGGAAAAGGCAAGGAAATTGATTCTCCTTTGGAGACTCCAGAGAGAGTGCGCCCCTGCCAATACCTTAATTTCAGCCCAGTGAAACCCATTTCAGACTCCTGACATCCAGAAATGTAAGATAATAAATCTGTGTTGTTTTAAGGCACTAATTTGGTAATTTGTTACAGCAGTGATAGGAAACTAACACAAACTCCTAGGAATTTTCGCTGTCTTGGACTAGGAGACAAGAATGGGAATGTTTGCAGTGTCTCTACTTGTAATGACGAAAAACTGGAAACAACCCAAATGTCCAGTACAGTGGAACACTTCATACTACACAGCAACAGAAATGGGCAAATTACAGCTACACATGTCAACTTGGCTGAATCTCACAAACAATATAGTGAAAAAAAGGCAGCCTCAGAAGACTACATTCAGTATAATACTGTTTATGTAAAGTTTAGAAACATGCAGAACCGTACTTTATATTATTGCTTGGAGATACGTACAAAGTAAAAGTACAGGAACAATAAATACCAAATTCAGCAGTGTGGCTGCCTGGCAGAAGAGGGATGGAATCGGGGAGGAGACAGAGGGGACTTCAGTGGCATTAAGAGATAGTTCAGTTTCTTAGGCTGAGTGAGCGTACACAGGTGTGCACTGTATTATTCTTTATATTAACACTTTGGGGTAAGCCTGAAAACTTCTATATAAAATTAATAATTTTTAGGGTCAATTTTTTGACCTTAGCTTTGAAGTCAGACAGACCTGGGTCCCATTCTGACCTCTGCAACTTCCTATGTGACCAAGAGCAAAGTCCTTAATTCCCTGAATCTCAATTATATCATCTGTAAAACGGGTAGTTGAAGGATTAGGTGACTTGATATGTGTCTACCACAATGTCTGGCACTTAGTCGGTTCTCCAAAAACAGCAACTGCAATGGGTTCCTCTTTCTAGAAATGATCCATTGGATTTAATTTATGGGGTACCTACTATCTTCCAGGGGCTGACTGGAGAAATGGAACACTTCATCTTCATGGTTCTGCTCCCTGATTCAGTCTTTTTTAAAAAAAGAATAAGAAATTTATTTATTTATTTATTTTTGGCTGTGTTGGGTCTTCGTTGCTGCGCGCGGGCTTTCTCTAGTTGCGGAGAGTGGGGGCTTCTCTTCCTTGCGGTGCACGGGCTTCTCATTGCAGTGGCTTCTCTTGTTGCAGAGCGTGGTCTCTAGGCTTGTGGGCTTCAGTAGTTGTGGCATGAGGGCTCAGTCCTTGTGGCTCGCGGGCTCTAGAGCGCAGTCTCAGTAGTTGTGGTGCACAGGCTTAGTTGCTCCACGGCATGTGGGATCTTCCAAGATCAGAGCTCGAACCCGTGTCCCCTGCATTGGCAGGCGGATTCTTAACCACTACGCCACCATGGAAGCCCGATTCAGTCTTTAAATTCATTATTATCCAAGGATTCAATCACCACCCCCTCAAGAAAAAAAAAAGCAGCTTTATTGAGATACATGCCATACAATTCAACAATTTAAATTGTACAATACAATGGTTTTTGGTATATTCACAGAGCTGTGTATTCATTGGCACAATTTTAAAACATTTTCATCCCTCCCAAAAAGCAGCTCTGTGCCCACTAGCAGTGACTCCCCATTCCCCCCAGATCCCACCCCGACTACCAGCCCCAGGCAACTAACCTACTTTCTGTCTCTATAGATTTGCCTGTTCTGGACATTTCATACTAATGGAATCCTATACTATGTGGTCTTTTGTGACTGGCTTCTTTCATTTAATTTAATTTTTTTAAATAAATTTATTTATTTGTTTATTTATTTTTGGCTGCGTTGGATCTTCGTTGCTGTGCGTGGGCTTTCTCTAGTTGCGTTGAGCGGGGGCTACTCTTCATTGCAGTGCATGGGCTTCTCACTGCAGTGGCTTCTCTTGTTGTGGAGCACAGGCTCTAGGCGCACGGGCTTCAGCAGTTGTAGCACGCAGGCTCAGTAGTTGTGGTGTGTGGGCTCAGTAGTTGTGGCTCATGGGCTCTAGAGCGCAGGCTCAGTAGTTGTGGTGCACGGGCTTAGTTGTTCCGTGGCATGTGGGATCTTCCTGCACCAGGGCTCGAACCAGTGTCCCCTGCATTGGCAGGCGGATTCTTAACCACTGCACCACCAGGGAAGTCCTAATATAATGTTTTAAAGATTCATTCATGTTGTAGAATTTATTAGTAATGATTCTTTTTGACTTTTTTTTTGTGGTACATTATGTGACATAAAATTTCCCATTTTAATCATTTTAAAGTATACAGTTCTGTGACATTAAGTCCATTCCCCTTGCTCTGCAACCATCACCACAATCCATCTCCAGAACTTTTTTATTTTCCCAAACTGAAGCTCTATGTCCATTAAATACTCCCTCCCCATTCCCCCCTCACCCCAGCCCCTGACACTCACCATTCTACTTTCTGTTTCTATGAATTTGACTACTCTAGGTGCCTCATATAAGTGGAATCATACAGTATTTGTCCTTTTGCAACTGGTTTGTTTCACTTAGCATAATGTCTTCACGGTTCTTCCATGTTGTATAGCATTTCAATATTTCCTTCCTTTTTAAGGCCAAATCATATTCCATTGTATATCTATTGATTCCTTTTTATGACCAAATAATATTCCATTGTATGTATATACCACAATTTGTTTATCCATTCATCACTTGGTGAACATTGGGGTTGTTTCATCTTTTTGGCTATTATGAATAATGCTGTTATAAACATTGGCATACAAGTTTTTATGTGACATGTTTTTTCCTCTTGCTTATATACCAATGAGTGGGTATATGATAATTCCATGTTTAATCTTTCTGAGGAAAGGCCAGACTGTTTTCCAAAGTAGTTGTGCCATCTTATACTTGCACTAGCAATGGATGAAGTTCCAGTTTCTTCACCAACACTTGTTATTGTCTATCTTTTTTTATTATAACTCTGCTAGTGGGTGTAAAGTGTTATCTCATGGTTTCAGTTTGCATATCTCTAGTGACTAATGACGTTCACCATCTTTTCATGTGCTATTGGTCACTTTTATATCTACTTTGGGGAAAAGCCTATTCAGACATTTTGCTCATTTTTCAGTTGGTTATTGGTCTCTTTATTTTTTTTTAATTAATTAATTAAATTTAATTTATTTCTGGCTGTGTTGGGTCTTCTTGCTGCACACGGGCTTTCTCTAGTTGCAGCGAGCGGGGGCTACTCTTCATTGCAGTGCGCGGCCTTCTCATTGCGGTGGCTTCTCTTGTTGTGGAGCATGGGCTCTAGGTGCACGGGCTTCATTAGTTGTGGCACATGGGCTCAGTAGTTGTGGCGCACGGGCTTAGTTGCTCTGTGGCATGTGGGATCTTCCTGGCAGGGCTTGAACCCATGTCCCTTTTATTGGCAGGCAGATTCTTAATCACTGCACCACCAGGGAAGTCCCATGTCTCTTTATTTTTGAGTTGTAAGAGTTCTTTATATATTCTGGAAACTAATCCTTTATCAGATATATGGTTTATAATTTTCTCCCATTCTGTAGGTCGTCTTTTCACTTTCTTGATGGCGTCCTTTTTTTTTTTGCGGTATACGGGCCTCTCACTGCCGTGGCCTCTCCCACCACGGAGCACAGTCTCCGGATGCGCAGCCCCAGCAGCCACGGCCCATGGGCCCAGCCGCTCCACGGCACATGGGATCCTCCCGGACCGGGGCACAAACCCGCGTCCCCTGCATCGGCAGGCGGACTCTCAACCACTGCGCCACCAGGGAAGTCCCGATGGCGTCCTTTGATGCACAAAAGTTTTTATGAAAAGTCTGATGAAGTACAATTTATCTATTTTTTTCTTTTGTTGCTTGTACTTTGGCATCATATCTAAGAAACCATTTTCTAATTCAAGATCATAAAGATTTATTATACCTTTATGTTTTCTTCTAAGGGTTTTATAGTTTTAGCTCTTCCATTTAGGTCATGATCCATTTTGAGTTAATCTTTATATATGGTGTGAGGTAGGGATCTGACTTCATACTTTTGCTTGTGGATATCCAGTTATCCCATCACACACACACACACACACACACACACACACACACACACACACACATCCCTTTTAAAATCTGGGCCTCAGGACTTCCCTGGTGGTGCAGTGGTTAAGAATCCGCCTGCCAATGCAGGGGACACGGGTTCGAGCCCCGGTCTGGGAAGATCCCACATGCCGTGGAGCAACTAAGCCCGTGCGCCACAAATATTGAGCCTGCGCTCTGGAGCCCACGAGCCACAACTACTGAGCCCACGCACTGCAACTACTGAAGCCCGTGCACCTACAGCCTGTGCTCTGTGACAAGAGAGGCCACTGCAATGAGAAGCCTGCGCACCACAACGAAAAGTAGCCCCCGCTCACCGTAACTAGAGAAAGCCCACGTGCAGCAACGAAGACCCAACGCAGCCA